CACAGAAAATATTAATGGTAAATTAAAAAGTGCTAAATGTGAGCACATTAAAATTGGAAATGGAAATTATATGACTGCTTTGGAAATTATCTCTATTGACATTATCTACTAGGAATGTAGATACTGACACTCATTGGCATAACATTTCCACTCCTCACAATGTACCTTAAAAGAACTCGCACTCAGATCCAGTAAGATCTGTGTGAGATCCTTTGCAGTAATACTGCCTGTAAAGTCCCAGATTGGAAGCAATACAAATGCTCACAAACAGTAAAATTGATTCTGGTAAGTTATAATTAAATATTATACAGCAATAAATATGGTCACAGACATGATTAATAACATGGGTGAATCTTATAGCATATTTAGAAAAAGAGGCAAGACAAGCAATAATGCATTCAGTACATTTCCATTCATAGAAAGACCCCAAATTATCTAAATTAAAATGCACTGTTAGAAATGCATATTAAAATCGTGCCGCCCTTAGAAAAGAGTAAGAGAATAATTGCCATAAAAATCATAAGAGCAATTACCTCTTGAAAAAGAGAGTGTTTTGGATTAGGAAGGGCAAAAGAGAGCTTCTAGGGTTTGGGAAATTCTGATTTCAGATGTTAGTTTTAAAAGTATTTGTCCCTCTCTAAGTGCATATATAATTCAAAAATTTAAATGTTAAAGAAAAGGTGCTACCGTGTTTTCCCGAAAATAAGACATCCTCTGAAAATAAGACCTACTTACAGGCAGGGCATATGCATGGGTTGAAGGCTCAATCCCCAGTGCAGGGTATGCCGGAGGCAGCTAATTGACGGTTCTCTCTTATCATTGATATTTCTATCTCTCTTTTACCCTTTGTTCCTCTCTGAAATCAATAAATATATATATTTTTTAAAAAGTGAATTAATCTCTATCAAAGAAAAAAAAAAAGAAAAAAGAAAAAGAAACAAGACTCAAGACTCTTGCCTATCCGACTTACCCAGATGGAGCTATGGGGAGAGAGACAGATATAAGGGAGATTTGTTTGGAGGCTGTTATGGATTATTTTACTCCTGCATAAAAGCATTCATCCATGCATGAAAGCATTTTTGGAAGCTTTCACAGAGAAAATGCACATAGATAATTTGTACACTTTAGTTTTTTTTTTTGTTTTTTTTTTCATTAGTGATCATCAGATGAGGTAATGCACAGAGTGCCTAGTTCCACTAAATGTTGGTTCATCTCAAATTCCCTAATCCACAGGCATGAAACAAACATCCTTAAAAGAAAGTTGGTGAGGAAAAAAAAAATTGTAAGTCAGAAGCTGGGCTGGTAAGCCTCACACAGCCCCATAAAACTGTCTTCCCACAGTTCTAGTGAAATCTAAACCAGGCAGAAGCTGAAGGAGACAGTGTAGGTCTTCCTCCTTATTTTAGCCTCCCACCTCTGCTCCGACCTCATCTACCCCTGAAGACAAACCCAAATCTTTGCTGGGTTTCCTGCTGCCCTCTAACTTCTGTATCATCACTGAACAGGATCCCAGGACAAATATTGACTGGCTTGACTTTGTACCCAAACCATGAATGAGTTCCAGTTAAAGAGTTACCTCAACCCAGTGTTCATTTTGTATCACTTGTGGAAAGAAAGGTTTAGAAAAGGCTCTCTGGCATGTTTAATGGAGAAAGACTAAATTTTGTCATCACTTCTAGGAATAAGACTGATTTTGAAGTTAAATCTAACTTAGTACTTTCATGTCAGGGTGACTGGCTTGGGGACAAATGGTTGTAAACTTTACCTCATCAGCCCTGGGTAGATGGTAAAAGAATTTTCATTTGTTTGTCTTGGAAGCCATGAGCCTACTCTATCTGAGACACTCTGTTCTCCACACTCCCATCTTGCCCATTAATCTCAGCTCTAACCTTTTCCTCTTCCCTAAATCTTTTGGATACATCTTGTGTATTTTTCTTCATATTAGAGTTTTTGGGAGATACACCATTAACTCTATATTATTTTAAAACTGGTAATATTTCTGATCACAAATGTGGTTTGTGCACTCATGATTTTCATTTCTAGTACTATCCTTCTTTTTTTTTTTTTTTAAATCAATCTTTATTGTTCATATTATTACAAAGGTTCCTCATTTCTTCCCCCCTCCACCAGGTTCCCACCCCACCCTCCGCCCCCTCCCCATCCCCCATTGTCCTCATCCATAGGTGCACAGTTTATGTTCAGTCTCTTCTTCCCTCCCTTTCCCCAATAGTAAATCCCTTCTCAGACAGTATATCAGTTACTTAGCATTTTCTCATATCAATAATACCTCTACATGCCCAATGATACACTTCACACAAAAGACATTTCCCAATAGGTCCACCAGCCTCATCCAGGCCCCACCCAAGGCACTCACAGATCAACACCCCAGCCCTAAACTAACTCAACACATCCAGATCCAAGCCTTCATCACCTGATTCAGCAGACCCTCAAGTTCCCACGAAAGTTTCCAGCCATGTCTGAGAGGCAGCCGTGGGGCAGGGGCAGGCAAGGAGCGAGTCGTTCCGGGCCCGGCTGCCCAGGGCCCGGCCTCTGCCGCTCTGGTTCATTCCACAACCAGCTGCTCCGGGTCTGGTCACCGCCGCTCCCGACCTAGTTGCTCTGGACTTGGCTGCTGCTGCTCCGGGCCTGGCCGCTCCCAGCCTGGCAGCCGCTGCTCCGGGCCTGGCCGCACCCGACCCGGCTGCTCCGGGCCTGGCTGCTCCTCTAGTACTATCCTTCTTATGTCATATTCTTTAATTGGTATATGTCATACTTTGTGAAGTAACTTCCAATTCTTTTTGGAAAATGGCACGTGACTGCTTTTGAATGTCTCTAACTCATAACATTTATATATCCTAGGATATATATTTCAGGGCATATATTCCTAGGTACTCTTATATATAGAAATATGCATAGCCCTGATGGGTTTGGCCCAGTGGATAGAGCGTCGGCCTGCGGACTGAAGGGTCCCAGATTTGATTCCAGTCAAGGGCATGTACCTTGGTTGCAGGCACATCCCTGGTGGGGGGTGTGGAGGAGGCAGATGATCGATGTTTCTCTCACATCGATTTTTCTAACTCTTTATCCCTCTCCCTTCCTCTCTCTAAAAAAAAAAAAAAATCAATAAAATATATTTTTAAAAATATAATTAAAAAAAGAAATATACACAGAAAGTCATAGTTAGAAATATGCAGCTTCATTGATATAAGATATATTCACAACAGGCAATATTGTACAGGGTTTAGACAAAGCATACAATCTGACCCCAAATTTCATTGGTTCAAATCCATATTCTGTTCCTTTGCATTATATATTTGGGGCAATTTACTTAATCTCTCAGTTTTCTCATCTATAAAATTGGGTAAACTGGTATCTCATGTTGTGAGAATTAAATTAGAAAATGCATCTAATATGAAGCACTTCCTGGCACATGCTTAAGTGTTCAAAGCGTTTTAGCTATTATTATTGCATCCATTTGCATCTTCATGTTCTCTGATGCTCACATACATATGCATCCCCTTTCACAAACTCCTTCCCTAATTTGACAAGCATTAGTTGAACACCTGTTATCTACTAGATACTTTGCTGGGAATACAGACTTAAACAAGACAGTCTCTTTCCTAATGAATTTCAGTCTTGTGGGGAAGATCGCAGAGAAACAATGATTACAATACAGTATGATTAGTGCTACAATGGAGTTGAGCGTAAAGTGCTATGTGAACACGCAGGAGGGGCAAGCTGTGGTGGCTGGAACATGGGATTCTAACCTGTGTTACATTTACACAATGGAAAATTACTTGGCCATAAGAAAGAATGAAATCACCCATAGGCCTAGGGGATATTATGATAACTAAATAGGTCAGCAGAGAAAGACATACCACGTAATTTCATTTATATGTGGAATATAAATCATAAAATAAATAAATAAACAAAACAGACTCACAGATACAGATTGGGGGTGGGGCTGCTGGGTGAGAAAAGTGAAGGGATTAAGAAGTATTAATCAGTAATTATAAAATAGTTTCTGGGTAATGGAGTACAGCATGGGGAATATAGTCAATAATATTGTAATAATTATGTATGTGCCAGATAGGCACTTGAAATATCAGGGAACCACTATAAAGTGTATGATTATCGAACCACTATGCTATATATACCTGAAAGTAATACAAAATAATATTGGATGTAAACTATAATTGAAAAAGAAAATTAAAACCAACAAAAATATTTAACCATTCCCTTTCTTGTGTTTTCAGAGTGATCCTTTTTGTATTTTTAGGGTACCATTTACTCTCATCGTCATTGTCCAATAATTAATTATTAAAAAGTGTACTTTTCTCCCTAGTCCTTGTGGTTGGGTGTTTTCCCATGCACCAGAGGTCACAGGTTCAATTAACAATCAGGGTTGATGGGTTTCTGGCTTGACCCACAGTAAGGGACATACAAGAGACAACTGATTGATGTTTCTCTCTCATCATTGATGTTTCTATATCTCCTTCTCCCTTCTTCTCTCTCTAAAATGAATAAAAACATATTTTAAAAATAAAAATAAAAAGTGTGTCTATCCTGTTAGATTTTTAATTCCCAGGCAGCAAGACTATTTTCTTCATATTTGAAGTTTCTGAAGCTTAGTGCTTCATACATGGTAGGTTTTCACTGGATGTATTTTAGACTGCTCAAATATGAACTTAAAAAAATTACAGGCCATAAATTCAGTAATTTCACATGCCTGAGGTCAATAAAATAATAAGCACCCAGCTGAATTTTAGTAAAGAAAACAGAAAGGTCCCATTCTCTGATCCAAGATCATTTTAAAACACAAATTGATTTAGTTTAATGTTTGGCTCAATACTCATTCAGCCAAACAATAGCCCTTCGAGGTTGCTTTCATTATTACAAAAAGTGAATCAATGAGATCTATTCAAAATGAATTGCAGATTATACTTTAGAAAAGTTTCTTATTAAAAAACAAAACAACACAGGAAGAGAGATAAACTTACCGATTTAGGCTCTGAGTAAGTACCAAGCCCAATGATAGGAATGCTGTTTCCATCACTTAGAGGTATTTGGTGATTTACTGCTGTGAGGTCCATCTTAGAGAACCAAGGACTTCAGATTTCTAGGAGGGAGTAGTTCACACTTTTGAACAGGTATCCTAGGGCCAAAGAAAGGAGGGCCAGGGGGAGGAGCAGTGGGAGGGAAGAGAGATTGACAGATCTATTTCTCAACCTGTTTTTTTTCCAGGTTGCTATGGAAATACTGAAATACCTTTGAACTTAACTAGAGACCTAAGAATAACTCATTGAGAGTTTATGTTTATGTTTATTCCACTGCAAAGAAAAGATTGAACAACAACAAAAAGAGCGGGGGTTCTATCAGTTAGGATGCTTTTGTTACCAACTAACAGGTCTATCTCAAATTCTCTTAGAATATAAAGGAAATTTATTGGTTCATATTCCTGAAAAGGTCAACATTAGGACTAGCTTAAGGTGAGACTAGAATAGTTCCTTTCCCAGAACTTCCCTGGAGATTCTGATGCAGCAGGACTGGGCAGGGGTCCGGATTGCTACCACCTAGGTGAACTTGGAAACATTGGGCCAGAGGGTCAAAGGAAAAGCCAGGAAACAGTTTCCCACCCTTTGCCTCCTGGCTTTCTCAGCTGACTCTCCTCTCATCATTGAAAGATAATAATCATCGTTGAAGCGACTCAGCTCTAGCTTAAAGCCCAATGAAACAGAGAGCTTACTTCCTCCATAGCTTATCTACTGATGAACATTTGGACTGTTCTCAAATCTTGGCTATTGTAAATAACACTGCAATTAACATAACCTGTCTTATAACCATGGAGGGATTGAGCAAAAAGGAAAAAAGAGAGAGAAAGACCTCACGGACACAGACAACAGTGTGGTGATTGCAGGGGAGGGAGTGGAAGAGGGTATTGGGGTGGGGGGAAAGAAAAAAAAAGAATACAAACTGGAAACAGCACGGAAGTCCATCAATGGGTGGATCGATAAACTGTGGCATATTCATACAAAGAAATACGTTTTGTTGTTCCTCAGCAACGCAAAGGAACCAATTCCTTATGCAACAGCATCAATGTATCTCAAAATCATCATGCTTAAGCTGAAACCAGTTTGGCTCAATGGATAGAGTGTCGGCTTGGGGACTGAAGGGACCCGGGTTCGATTCAGGTCAAGGGCATGTACCTTGGTTGCGGGTATATCCCCATTAGGGGGTGTGCAAGAGGCAGCTGATCTATCAAAGAATCAAAGGTCTGTTGAGGGGCAGTAAAATGATCAAGAAAATGATGTGCTTACACTAGGAATTCATGGGGTTATGGGTTGAGTTATGTCCCACTAAAAGATACATTGAGGTCCTAAACCCCAGTACTTGAGTGAAGACTAGCAAATGGGCATTTCTGCATGCTTCCTCTGCACTAAGCACTGGTGTGAAGACCAGTTAAGAACTGTTGCTTGGTTTGCTACTGTGCCGTTGAACGTGTGACCAAAAGGCCCAGTGACTATTAAAGTAAGGATGTCATCATGGGACGTGTCCTCTAGGTGGCAGTCATGGAAGCCAGTGAGCCAGCCGTTACATAAGCTCCTTCCATAGAGGCACCCGTGACCTGTGATGCAGCAGAGGAAAAGCAGGAAGATGATGCCCCCTGGCCTCTTCAGCCTCTGGAGAGGATTGTAGTCAGCTCCTAGATATATGATTTATTAGAAGCCTGCAACTCAGGACACAGTTATGAAGTTGAGTTATAAACCTCTTTCACAGAAAGGTGGGGTATGCATAGTCTGTTGTCTACACTGTGCTGGAGGAGGAGAGGAGAGTGTGGCTGGTTAAAGACTCTTTCTCCATTTATTACCATCCTGTGGTACCCACAAACGTAAGTCCCATGGGCCACCAGAGCCAGGTGATCACGAGGTATCTTTGGGTGTCAGCCACAAAAATCGAGTTAAGTTCACAACCCCCTTTCCAGAAGATACCGGAGTGAGGCGGAGGGAGAGTGTGAAGATAGCACCTGCTGGAATCTGTCTTGGGAGTGAATTTCAGCAGAATCCTAGATGTGTGTTAAATTAGTTGCTTGCCTCTCACTTCAAAGCTTTAAGAGAAGCAAACAGATCTATTTCACAGAATGACTGAATTCTTTTCATGGCCTGCCTCTTCACTGGGTGGGGTCTGGGTGGGGAATAGCCAAATGAGCCCAGATGAGTCCTTTAAGAACTGTTTTTTAGTTGAATATAGGCTTGTGAGTGTTGTGAACACAAGCCCCATTGGCTTTCAAAGCTAGAAGCTTTGGGATTTCATTTCTCAGGTTCAGCTCCTAAAAACTGGGGATTCAGATATGGGATTCAATCCCTTTGTTCCTCAGGGAGAAGCATAGTATTGTGAGTTTCCTCCTGAATGTGGGTCACTGTGTCAGGTATGGTGAGATTGTGTGTCAGCCTCTCCTACCCGTTTTGATGTGGATTTTTTATCGTTCACTCAATGCACAGAGTCACACAGTTTGTTCTTTCAAAGGAGGTTGTTCCGTATGTAGCTGTAGATTTGGTCTGTTGATAGAAGGAGGCCGGTTCAGGATTCTCCTATGTTGTCATCTTAAGCCAGAACCTCCCCTGCCTGCTTTTCATTAAAAAAAAAAAAAAAAAAGGCATATGCATGATTGCAAGTCATATTTTCTCATGAAACAACAAGATATTCGCTTGGCCTCTGTATGGCTCAGTGGTTGAAAGTTGACCCATGAACCAAGAGGTCAACAGTTCCATTTCTGGTCAAGGCACATGCCCAGGTTGTATGCTGGATCCCCAGTAGGAGGCAGCTGATTGATGTTCTCGCTATTCTTCTCCCTTCCTCTCTTTAAAAAAATCAATAGAAACACATTTTAAAAATATTAAAAAATATATTTTTCAGATTTTTTTGGTAAAATTATTTTCTATTTTCCATGTGCCAATCTATTTACAAGTCTGTTCTAATGTTTTCTAAACCTTCGTCGTAACGATTGAGACAAATTATATCCAGAATTTAGATATAATTGATAGATTCCCACAGCATAAAAACATAATCCACCTTTCAAAAATGGCATGACCCTTGTGTCTGCATCCTTTCAATTTGACTTTAAATATTCAATAAATATTAATCTATTGAATTTTCCCTTTTTGTGTCCTATAATTTATCTGTAAGGATTTGTTAAGTACCCGGTAAATTCCAGACATACTGTATCCATATTTTTCAGGTCTGAAACTCTCTTAAAGAAAGTAGTCTTGCCACTCACCTTTTTCTTAGAAAGAGAAAGGTCATCTTCAGTTCAAGGATGAAGATGTGAAATCCAATGGCGGAAAGTCATATGCATTCCAATCAAGGTCTTTGTCAGGCTTTCCTGGAGTTGGAGATTAACGATAACCTCAAGCTAACCTAAGCTTAGCCAGTAAATGTCACCGCAGCCAAGACAATTGAAGTTGGTGGTAGAAAGATATGATCTCCTATCTGGTTCTCCTCCCTCAACTGGAATCTTTCTTGGGGAGTCAATCCAGATAACCTATGAATTGAAGAAAGTGCTTGCTCTGTAGCAAGCTTATCGCCTTTGTTGCTGAAAGGAAAAATCTGCCTCCACCCCTGTGAAAAAGCTGTGCAAAATAGTAAGCAACAGCATGCGTAGAGAAGTATCCTGACCCCAATATCTGACACAAGCCTCAAAGACTTGGTCTTCCCAAGTGAAATTGTGGGTAAGAGAATATGTGTGACCCTGGACAGCAGACAGTTTACTGAATGGTGAGAATTCTGTGAAGAGGAGGGGCAGGCAAGAGAGGATGCCCTCACACAACAGATGCCTAACTCTTAGTTTCCCAGGGCTGCCGCCACAGAGGGCCGCAAACTGGGTGGCCTCGAACAACAGAAATTGTCTCACAGTTCCGGTGGCCAGAGGTCTGAAATCAAGGTGTCAGAAAGGCCATGCTTGCCCTGAGGCTACAGGTAGCCTCCTTCCTTATCTGTTCTTAGCTCCCGGTAATGACTGTCCATACCGAGTTTCCTTGGATTATAGCTACATCTGTCTTATCTCTGCCTCCATCAACACAGGGCTTCCTCCTCTCAGGGATTTATGACTTCATATGGCATTCCCCTCTCTTTTTATGGATGCCAATCACCGATCAGGCTTACAAGAAATATTAAAGGGACTTCTTTAAGCTGAAATGGGAGAGTAAAAATTAGTAACAGGAAAAATCTGAAAGTATAAACCTCACTGGTAAAGGTAAATATATAGTAAAAGTCAGAGTAACCTGTTATTTTATAAACAGTGTAAAAGTAAAAGTAGTAAGACAAACTATCACTAAAATAATTTGTTAGTGGATACCCTATGGCTTTAATATCCTACTTCTATCAATGGATAGACCATCAGGATAAAAAACCAATATGGTAATGCTGGCCTTAGACTGCAGGTTGGATCAGATAGACCAGTGGTTCTCAACCTTTCTAATGCCGTGACCCTTTAATACAGTTCCTCATGTTGTGGTGACCCCCAACCATAAAATTATTTTTGTTGCTACTTCATAACTAATTTTGCTACTGTTATGAATTGTAATGTAAATATCTGTCGTGACCCGCAAGTTGAGAACCGCTACTGTAAAGCCTAAGACAATTGGAAAACAGATATTTACATTATGATTCATTAACAGTAACAAAATTAGTTATGAAGTAGCAATGAAAATAATTTTATGGTTGGGGTTCACCACAATATGAGGAACTGTCTTAAAGAGTTGCAGCATTAGAAAGGTTGAGAACCACTGAGATAGACGTAATAGATATACAAAACATTCCACCCAAAAGCAACAGAATGCATATGCTTCTCAAGCACACATGAAACATTCTCCAGGATAGACCATATGTTAGGCCACACAGTGTTAATAAACTTAAAAAGATTGAAATCATCAAGCATTTTTTATGACCACAATGTTATGGGAAACTAGACATAAATGAAAAAATGGAAAATTCAGATATATGCGGAGACTAAACAACATGCTACTGAACGATTAACAGTCAAAGAATAAATCAAGAGAGAAATAAAAATACATTGAATCAAATGAAAATGGAACTA